TGAATCACACCCTGCCTCACCAAAATAGAAGCGCCGCCGGTGGCTTTATCACCTGGAGGTGAAAACGAATGGAATGAATTGTACTGACGAAATTCAAATTTGTCGGTATTTTTCAGGTATGTCTCCTGTAAACTAAACACAGATGGTTTATAATCCTGCGATAATAATTGTAGATCCTGAAAATTGTTCCTAAGACCTCTGCAATTCCATTGGATTAAGTTCATAAATAATGGTTATGGTGGTTTGACTGGAGATCGAGAATGCAAGGAGCCATCACTCCTACACGTTGTGTGTGAAGATGCAATCTCCATGTCAAGTGGTTCAAACGAATTTTGAACCACCACAGGAGAGTTCAGTGAATCCATAGCAAGTGGCTCAAATGAATTTTGAACCGTCACAGGAGGTGTCAACGAAGGAGACTCTTCCAAATGGTGAAGAGTCCTGTTCTTTCTTCTTAACTTTTTCTTTTCCTTATTTGAAAGGTGGGCAACACTCTGCGTTTCCTGAGTCGAATGGGCATCGTTTGGTTGAGTTTCCTCAGTCTGAGAGGCTGATGTGCATCGATGATCGTTTGATATATTGTCATCCAAGGTTATTGGATCAGCATTCAACCAAGATATAACCGTTTGACATTCAGTTGAAACTGAGCGAGTTTTAGGAACAGGTGTCGGAGCAGAGGAAGTAACTGCGGCTGAGTACGTTGGACCGGTAGAAGATTGGGATTGAGCATTAACTACTTTCTTCGCTTCAAAGTATGAGATGTTGTTTGTACATTTGATTTTAAGAATTTTGGCCTCATATTCAAACTTTGGGCAAGATTTTGATGATGCCAGGTGGTCACCACTGCAGTTTGAGCATTTGATGGTATTTTTGCAGTCAGTACTCTCATGATTTTCACTGCAGCGGGGGCATACAGATTTACCGGTGCAAGACCTTGCACCATGGCCAAATTTTTGGCACTTGTAACACCGCAGCGGATTTGGCACATATACATCCACTCCAATGTTACAGTATCCAGCTTTAATGGATTTGGGAAGTGTAGTCAGACAAAACGTGAAAAGCTATGTGTTTGTTTTCACTATGTTTGATTCTTGTTTTCTAGTAAAACGCTTCACCATAGTAACGCCTTGGTCCTTCAGCTCTGCCGCAATCTCCTCTTTGGTCATATCCGACAGACAACGGGACCTGTCTCTTACAATACCTCTGCAAGTGTTGAGAGTGTTATGCGCTGAGACAACAACCTGTTTGTTTACAAACTGCTGTAAGCCTAATAGATTGACAGATTGCTGAGGCTTTGCACATTCAACCAAGATTGAACCATTTCGGAGGCGAGTGACATTCTTTACTTCCCCCGCAGACACCTTGGATGCCCTTGGATACGGCAAAGGGATTGATATTTAATGGACTTCCATCATCAGTTGCAATAACCAAGAACCTTGGCCAGGAATCATGCAATAAAGGGGATACATCTTCATCAGATGATGACGAAAGATGTCTCCGCTTATTTGTTTTGGATGAACCAGAGTGTGTGTTGTGAGCCTTGGTATAATAATATTGTTCGACAACCCTGCTCCCCACCCGCCATCGAGTGTCAACAAGGATGATGTTGCAGTGGAAACCTAACTGCAACACCAGGGCTACAGGGATGTTATACTCCAGAAATACAGACATAAATAGCTGAAAATTCTAAAAGATCACATGCCAGGCTGGTTCGGCCCATGACATTAGTCTCAAGAAACTCAGTATTCAGAGATCCATATCACCAGATTGGCCCATGAGCCACCGCCTTCTGGCATAGGACTCTAGGCAAGTTAACATATAATTAAATTGTAATCGTGAAATCGAAAAAGTCAATACCCTCAAAATGAGAAAATGTGCAAATATATATCCACCATGCAAAGTGCTTGACGTGACCAGCCGATTGATGGAACCGGGCCAGTTCAACCACCCGTCTAGGTGAAGTAAGGGGCGAAGTGGTGTGTTGGGCAAAAGGAACACGGTTCCAGGCTCCCAGTGCCCTCAACCACCAGCCTCCCGTCCTCCACCGACACAGGGGCGCAACCCACGGCAAACGGGTTGGTGGACCTAATATCCCCCCGGGTCCACAACGGGGGGTTGAAGGGCGCTTAGCGTGACCCAGCACCCACCACGAGGAGGTGGCCCTTCATGGGTGCCTGCTGAGCTAAGAGAATCTTACGATAATCTTCACGGGTGCCTGAGAGTCTATGTACTTGATCTTAAACAAACACTGTTTTGTAGGTAGAATAATAGCACTGATCTAAGATGGTTACAATAAAGAATTATCCATAATATTCTACCTACAAAACAGTTTTTGTTTAAGACCAAGTTTATAGACTCCCAGGCACCCGTGAAGAGCCGCCTCCGCGTGGTGGGTGCTGGGTAACGCTAAGCGTCTTCAAACACCACCAACACCACCACCCCCACCCCATTGTGGTATATTTGTTCCAGCGCCCCTGTGTCGGTGGAGGACGGGATTCTGGTGGTTGAGGGCACTGGGAGCCTTGAACCGTGTTCCTTTTGCCCAACACACCACTTTGTAAAAATAAATTCGCGCACACCGATATCAAAGGTGTGGAATATGATCCAGAAAAGCAAAGGTAAAGGGTTTAAATCTAGCATTCACCATCTGAAAGATGGGAACCAATTATTAACCAATAAATCTGATATTGCAAATAAGCTTGGTGAGACGTTGGCCAAACATTCTTCCTCATCTAATTATGTACCTGAATTCCAAAAATATCAAAAACAACAAGAAAAGAAATCTATTAATTTCAATTCAGAATTCGGGGAAGACTACAATGAAACCTTTTCGATACATGAGCTTCATACTGCCCTTGATCAGGCTCACGATTCTGCTTCAGGAGCTGATAACATGCATTATCAACTCCTGAAGCACTTACCTGAAGCATGTTTAGAGACGCTCTTACTTATTTTTTATGACATTTGGACATCTGGAAAATTTCCGTCGTCGTGGCGTGATGCTATTATTATTCCTATACCTTAACCTGGACGTGATCATACTGATCCCTCTAATTATAGACCAATTTCATTGACAAGCTGCGTTTGCAAAACCATGGAACGCATGATAAACAATCGACTTTTTTGGTACTTGGAAACCAATAGCCTTATTACTAATATACAATGTGGTTTCCGTAAAAACAGAAGTACTGTCGATCACCTAGTGCGTTTGGAATCATTTCCTAAAAATGCTCTAACTAATAAACAACACGCTATGTCTATCTTGTTTTCTCTTGAAAAAGCATATGACATTACGTGGAATATGGCATTTTAAAAGACTTACATGGCTTCGGATTGCGAGGCCCCTTGCCTCAATTAATAGCTAACTTTTTAAATGACAGACAATTTCAAGTCCGCGTTGGTTCAACCCTGTCTGATGATTACAATCAGGATCAGGGTGTCCCACAAGGCAGTATTTTGTCTGTGACTTTATTTAGTATCAAGATCAACAGTTTATCCAAGGTTTTAAACGATTCAGTGGATGGATCACTTTTTGTGGATGATTTTAATATTTCTTGTCGCGGTAAAAATATGCATACTATTGAACGGCAACTGCAGTTGTGTTTAAACAAAATAAAAAAATGGTGTCTTGAAAACAGCTTTACATTTTCTAAATCCAAAACTAATTGTATACATTCCTGCCGTAAATACAAACTTCATAAAGACCCAGAACTATTTCTAAATGGTACACACATCAAGGTTGTCAAGGGGGCCAAGTTCTTGGGTATTATTTTCGACTCCCATTTAACTTTTCTACCACATATTGAATCCCTAAAAAATAAAGGCCTGAATGTACTGGATTTGTTAAAAGTTGTTTCCAACTCAAAGGGGGGAAGGGATCAAGCTACCCTCCTACACCTATACCGACCATTGGTCCAGTCCAAACTGGATTACGGCTCCATTGTATATGGTGGAGCTTGCAAAAGCAACCTATAATTCCTTGACTCTGTCCACCACCAAGGCCTAAGACTTTCTATTGGGTCTTTCAGCACTTCTCCTGTTGACAGTCTTTTACGTCGAGGCTGATGAACCATCACTTAATCAACGCCGTATCAAATAAGCTTACAATATATTACAAAACTACATGTTAGACTGAGTCTAACCCAGCTAAAAAATGTGTCTTTAATCCCCTTCATGAGGTTTCGTATAACAAGAAACCTTTCTTGTTCTGCTTCTAGGGCTAGAATTAGGCCATTCATTACTGCTGCCGGCATTGAGCTGGAAAATATAGCTCCTTCCCGACTTCTTTTTCTCCTCATTGGCAATTGGTTAGACCACAAGTCGACCAAACATTAACATCATTTAAAAAAAATCAGAAACAAATGACTTACAATATAAACAAGAATATAATCAATTAAAAAGTAAATATAATACATATAAATCCTTATTTACAGATTGGTCCAAGGATAGTGGCGGAGCGGCTTGTGCTACTGTCATTGGGTCCAAAACAATTTCTTCCAGATTACCCAATGACAGTTCAATTTTCACAGCAGAAGCAAACGCAATACTTATAGCTCTTAAATATATAAATAGAGACCCTAAATATAAACAATATATAATATTTTCCTATTCTCTTTCTTGCCTTCAGGCTATTAAAAATCTTTCTTATAAACATCCACTTTTATTAGAAATTATAGAATTATATGATGATCTTGCAACTCCCCAATACGACATCGTCCTCTGTTGGTTACCCAGCCACGTTGGCATATCTGGGAATACTTTGGCCGATCTTGCTGATAAGGCAGCACTCAAAAAATCTGTGACACCACTTCTTATCCCATACTCTGATTACAAAGCCAGCATTAGAACCTACATCCGTGATCTGATGCAGAAGAAGTGGGACACTCAAGTAGGTATGGATAAATTACATGAAATAAAACCCTCTATTGGTTACACCTACTAATTGGGTTGTCAGGTACTAATTGGGTTGTACCTTTTCCTTAAAACTGTTTCTTTTTCAGATCAGTCCCAGCAACAGCTTGCAAAGAAGCCAGCATGGGGCAAAAGATACCCCAAGCCACGTCAAAGGGGACAACAAACTGCAGAATCTACTGGTAGTCTCATCCCGACGCAGACTAGATCTGTTGAACAGGTACATCGGATGGGAGACGATGGCGTCCAACACCTGGTCACATCTTCAAGGCAGCAACAACCAGAACAGCAGGCAGCAACAGTAGCAACTACAGGTGCAGTGGTGTTTTTTATAAGGGTTGTTTTTTTAGTTTAGTTTTTTTTATGCAGCAAAACCATGCATTTGTTTCGTTTATTAACTTATGAAATGAAAAAAACAATATGCAAACTATGAATCTTTGTGAGTGGATTCTATTAAAGTTTGCATATAAGTTTTTTCAACTAATAACTTGAAAGAACCAAACCATACACTGAAGTAGTATACATAATGGGGTAAAAAACAGGGTCATTTTTGCAGAACACCAAATGATGTCCCGTTAAATTTGCCCTCTTTTTGTGTTGGATGAAGAACAGAATTAGGATGAAATGGCTTGATAAGGACGATTGGTTCCCGTTTCCCCATTATGTATACTATATCCAAACGATGTCCCAAGGCTGTATTAAAGGTATATTTCATTATTTATTAATACTTGATAAAATGTGCTAAAGCCCACAGGGATATTGGATATAGCTAAGGTATCCGAAGATGTCACAAAGGATTGCTTAAAGAAATAAGCAATATGGCAAATATATTTACTAGCTCCACCATATATACCGAGGAGGAAGTTTTTTAATGACCAATGAGGTACATCAGGCTGACCACCTTGTTTCTTGCACACGATAGGGTAAGACGTAAGCCATATAAATATTTTTAAAGAGGCCATTAACCATGAAAGATGCGACTGAAGTGGCTAATGGGCTGTTGTGTATTTATAAATGAAGTCCTTTGAAGTGGCCTAAAGAATTTATGTAGATCCGGGATGCCAGTTTATGGGATCTGTGTCACAGCTTCTTGTAAATCACAAGGTCAATGTCAGGTGCGGAATAGCGGCTGCTCCTCTTAGCGAAGCTATTGTTGAGAGATTTAATCGACAGGAGATGATAAACAATCGGCAGAATGGGTGACTCGTTAACCCGAAGTTATGTCAGCGATAAATAATGAAGTGACTACATTTATCGGCCAAAACCCATAACATGACATTATAATTACATCTCGGACTTCTGAATCATATGCACCATGCTGGGGCAAGGAGGAAGAAACTTTTGGACCGGCCATGAGGTATTTCTGCCAGCCCAGTGTACTGGTATACATCATACATTAGTTTTCAAGTACAGATTGTGATATTCATCCAGAATCTTACGGCCTAGTATCCCGGGCTGTTTAAAGGGATCTCTGTGTCTTCAAATACATCAGTGGGTCCACAACACTTTAATCCATCAGTGGGTCCACAACACTTTATTCTGGAGTCAATATGTATACATACATGAAGTTACAACAATGACTAACGGCATGTCGGAGGCGATGGTCAGCCAACCTGCCTAGTCGCTGTCTCAGGGTCAAGTCTCGACGAACACAAAGCATTCTCAATTTATCCCTAAGGGTCTGATCAGACTGTCACGTGTCGCATTTACGACAGATGTATGGTCAGCCTGCAGTATCCCGCAGCCTTTGTCTAACTTTGATTATAGGCAGCTAATGTCTCTATTATGGTGGCCATACTGACAATGGTCATGCTGTGTTGATTCATGTCCATTGACAGCATGGTCATTACTTAGAGAGATATTCAATTTACATAAGTCAAGGAATATTATAGATATCCCTGATAAACCCTGTTCCAAACTGCCTACGATATACGCCCTTTCTGTAAAGAAGGACGTGACCTTATGCACATTGTGAATGAGGTAGCGATAAAATTTCAACATATATTATCTAAATTATAGGGATAAACATAAAATGCTATAATCAGTCAGGGCTTGTTGACAGTTGACACTGACAAGTAATTATACAGGTGATACAATTCGAAAACTGGTGTGCCAAATTTCTTTCATTGGTTTAGTGATGATATTAATTACACAGTCTTCAGTATTTGGATAAGCTCTGTAACATATATGACACATGATGTCAAACACTGATATGCATTCATAAAGTTTAAATGACTAATTTAAATGAGATTTGCTGATAGCAATATCGACATTAAATGACAGTAAATATTTCTTTAAAGACAATTTCCTTTGGTAAATTAAGATACATGTCGTGGAACCCATTTTTCTAAATCAACATATTGACAGACGAATAACACACTGAATCAAAGTAAGTCATCTACAGAAACTTCTAGAGATTATCGTCCACTGAATAACTTGTACGATGACAAGTGTTTCAGAAACAAAGTACAAAGTAGCATCAATATGGACATGAAATGGATCGTCATTTTCTATCATCCTAACAATCAGACAGGACAGCAGTCACCTCTTTTTCTCTCTCTTTCAATCTCTGTTACGAAAACGGTCTCTCTCCCTCCCTGTATCTCCTCTACTCTTTCTCTCACTGTCTCTCTTTCACTCTCTCTCTCTCACTCAATCGCTCTCTCTATGCCTCTCTCACAGTTAGGGCGGTGGGGTAGCCTAGTGGTTAAAGCGTTGGCTCGTCACGTCGAAGACCCGGGCTCGATTCCCCACATGGGCACAATGCGTTAAGCCCATATCTGGTGTCCCCCGCCGTGATATTGCTGGAATATTGCTAAAATCGGCGTAAAACTAAACTCAGTCAGTCAGTCAGTCTCTCACAGTTACAACTCCCTTCTTGTATCTCATCTCCTTGCGTCCTATATACACATATTTTGATACATAATATCCTTAATTGGACATATCAATAACATTATATTCAAATTCAAGGGCATACCATTTACATGCTGATCACAAAAAGACATTATAAACTGTTCGCTTTAAAGATCAGCGACATGACGATCAAATCAATGTACATGAAAGCTAGTACATATTGATAAGCCCTGGGCAGGGGTACAGGGTACAAATAGAATGGTACATACACAAATATGTGTATGCTGCTACCGATAGAATACAGAAAATGGACATGAAATTGAATTTATTGACAAAGAAAGCATTTAGTGGTGCAGGAAAACAATTGACGGGGTAGGGGTGATTGAGGCGACACTCCTGGGGACTCAGATGGCATAGCCTACAGTGGACACACTTGTATGGGTGTGTGCGGGCATGATAGATTAGAGGCGGGGTCGTAGGTGGTAGGATGGGAAAGAGTAGGGGGTGGCGTGTGAGGGAATGGGGTGTGGGCAAGCATTGTTCGGGGAAGGTTGAAAATAATTTGCTGGGTCATGTCGCTCCTCCTGCAGTCTGTTCGGCTGAACGTTCATGTGTGAACTGACAGACATGAGACCTTCAGTACCTGCTATTTTGTAAATGTCCTCTGCTTCCTGAGCACTTTCAATCATGTCCGACAAAGTGTCATGGCGCCTGGTGACAATAAATTGAACAATGTGGGGAAGGGCGTTTCTGAAAATGAGGTCTTTAATAAATTGATCATCGTTACAATATGAAAGGGATGCCTCATTCCGCACAGATTGAAGAAAAGAACGAAAGTCCTCTTGTTCTGTTTGTTTTCTGTCAATCAGGGCATTTTTTGCGAGTGATGACTTGAACGGACGTTGAACCATACCATTGTAAAAAACATTGCCTAAGTTCAGACCATGTCAGACTATCTTTACTGGGAAGACCTTCATACCAAATTTGCGCAGAGTGTGTTAAGTAGGGGGGGGAAATGTTAACAACTTCTTCATTGGTGTAATTTTGAATATGCATACATTTCTGAAATCGACTAAGCCAGGAAGGTGCCGATCGGGAATCATGTCCGTCGAATAATGGCCTGGGAAGGGCTGTGAATCTGACGCTGGGGACGTTGGGGACAGACAGCGTGACGGTCAGCGGGCGGGGAGGAGCATGGAGGGGGAAAAGAGCAACGGCCACAACAATGGGGATTGTAAATACGGCAGTGGTGATCAGGGTGTTGAGGGGCAGACGGGGAATCTGAGCGGGTGGATGTATTCAAGGAAAATATGATTTACTGGAGGATCCGTCATCAGATTTAGAAGAAAAGAAAGGCATTGAAAAAAAATGAATGAATAAACCAAACCGTATCAACACTCACCCTGTAGTGTATAACAATAGAAACACAGAAATATTACTAAAAGTCACTAACACTTGTAGTTCTTAGTTTTCTCCTCGGTCAGTCTTCGTTTACACGAACACAGTATTTGCTGTTGGACGACTGTGCGTGATCGAAGCTTGTGATGATGGACCAGTTCTTGTGTTCACACCTTTGTCCCATGAAAGCACAATATGATTGCAGTTGTATTTGATGAATCATTTTCGTCAAACTGTGAAACGTCCACATTGAGAGATATTTCACAGGCGGGTTGTCAGCTGTTTTCGTCAACTTAGTTTGATGTTGCTGGCTGTTTGACATTTGTTTTGATGTGGACCAAGGATGGACGAATACCGTCGGAGGTTCGTTCAAGACCTTTGATGCCGAGAGGTTTCGAGATCTTGGTCTCCACCATGTATCCCGGACTGTTTTGTGGGATAACTGTGTCTTCAAATACAGAAGTCCATCAGTGGGTCCACAACATTTTATTTTACATACATAAAGTTCCAACAATGACTAGGTGGCATGTCGGAGGCGATGGTCAGCCAACCTGCCTAGTCGCTGTCTCAGGGTCAAGTCTCGACTAACACAAAGCACTTTTCAATTTATCCCTAAGGGTCTGATCAGACGGTCACGTGTCACATTTACCACAGATGTATGGTCAGCCTGCATTATCCCGCACCTTATCCACATTGTCATGCTTCAGTGGCCAACCGGCCTTTGTCTAACTTTGATTATAGTAAGCTAATGACTCTATTATGGTGGCCATGATGACAATGGTCATGCTGTGTTGATTCATGTCCATTGACAGCATGGTCATTACTTAGAGAGATATTCAATTTACATAAGTCAAGGAATATTATAGATATCCCTGATAAACCCTGTTCCAAACTGCCTACGATACTAGTTTATTCCATACGTTGAGGGCCCCTTGGCTTAGTCAAAACTAGTGGGCATTAATCGTTGCAGTTGCCGGTTTGTTTTAAATAGCCGCTAAGGAATTTTTAACCAAATGATGATGAGACCCAATGGGACTATCACAATCTTGGTTTTCTGATCCGT